CCCCCCCCCCGAAGTTGCTGGAGGAGAAAAGACTGGAGCAGGCCAGGGGCTGCAGGCCTCCCAGGGAAAAGAGGAAGGTGGGGGCTGGGCAAAGGGGGCAGAGGAGAAGGGGGGCAAGCCAGGGATGGCACTGGGGCCCGGTGTTGCTGTGGGCAGGGATGGGTGCCCCAGGAAGCTTGCTGCCACCGGGTTCCACCCTGGACCCACTGCCCTCCTTTGGGCCCCCACACCTGCAAAGAGAAGGCTGGGAGTGTGATGGGCTGGGGTTGCCTCCCCTCCCTCCTGTGCCCGCCAAGCCTGCTCTTGCCACGCGGTGCTGCCACGCGTGGCCTTGGCCTTCTTAACCTTTTGAACAAAGCCCCTCTTTTTACGTCACCTTGTTGGGTGTCATGAAGCTGGTTTCAACTCCTGGCGACCTCGTGGGACAGAGTAGACCCTAGGCTGAAATCTTGACCGAAGCCAATGGCCAGGTCTTCCTCCCATAGAGCTGTTGGGTGGATTCAAGCCAGCAACTTGTCAATTAGCCACTGGGAGCTTAACCTTTTGGGCCATGTTGCCTGCAGACCAGCTGGGGCCCGGGTGAGGAGAGCAGTGGCAGCTGTGTGGTCCGTGCACCCTGTGGACCTGGAAAGAAGCCATGGTGGGGACAGCACGAGACCCCACGGACTCCTGAGCAGCAGGAGCAGGCGGGTTTGCCCTTACTCACAAAATCCCTCCTCTCCATGCAGACAGGGCTGAGGGTGCCTGGCCTGGCTCGGTGCCGCAAGCTCTGCTAACACCTCTCAGTGGCATCTGCACGTGGGAATCCGGGGTGGCCAGTTGCCACGGAGTGGATCCCCACGTGTGCCGGAGCAGGACTGCGCGCCATCCCAGGGTTTCCAGTGGCTGGCGTGGGCCGCCAGGCCTTTCTTCCGAGGTACTCCTCGGTGCGGCCCCACACCTCCAGCCTTCCAGGTAACAACAGCTGAACGCGTTGACTATTGACGTCACCCAGAGCCCATCGCAGGGTAGGCACCCTTATTCTCCCCACCAGGCAGACAAAGGTCAAGGTCCCGTGTCATCCCCGCACGTGTCATCCCCGCACGGCACGTAGCAAAGAACGGAGCATCTGCCTTGATGCCCAAGGTCATTTCAGAGCTAGCAGCAGGGCACCGTAGAGAGGGCAGGAGAGAGGAGTAGCTGTAGCCCTGTGGAGTGTACCACTGAAGAGCCCGGGTAATCCGAAAACATCTCTGAGCTTAGGGGGGACAGGGTACGGATGGAATCCGGGACCCACAGCTGTTAGTGTGAGAAGCATAGCTCCTCCAACGGCCTCCGGATGTCCCCTCTGTTGCAGTGTCCTATGCATTGATGCAAATCAGTGTCACCAGTCACCACAAAATCCTTGTTAGGTGGGTGGGTAATCACTGCTCACGTCTAGCCCCTTACAGCCCCTGCCGTCTGGTCTTTTCTGACGCAGTGGTGGGACAGTGTAGACCTGGGCTGTCCATGGCCGTCAGCTGTTCAAAGACATTTTCCCCCATGGGGTTTACATTGTAAACTGTCATGATCTGTTCCTGAGGATGGGGTGCAGACCGCCGGCTCCCCACTCGATAATTCATACCAATTCTGCTTCACCTCGGAGATCCCGAGCTCAACGGGCCCTCGAGGCTCCCCTCTGTCCCCTGCGTCTCCTGTTTGCGTCCCGCCTCCTTTCCTGCCCTTTGAACTTTATTCTTGGGTCGGCGCTGCCCCCTCGGCTGTCTGGGTGGCTGTTCTCAGGAGCACCTGGCTCCCTAGGGTTACTGGTCAGTCGCCTCAGGGGCCTGTCTAGTGCTTGGCTGAAAAGGGAGCCAAGGGGATGGGTTCATTCCCGGACCTGAAGGGAGACGAAGGGACATCGTCCTAGTGGTGGTCAGCCTGGTCTCTTTTACGGTTCTGGGTTCTGTTTGTCCGACTGCCCCACGGACATCCAGCCATCCTGATGGAAACAGACTCCTGCCGCTTTGTCCTACGGCTGGTGAGTGGCTTCGAACCACTCACCTTTTGGTTAGTAGCCAACTCAACACACGCCGTTTACTGACGAGAAGAAAATGGAGGGTCTAAGATGGTAGCACTTGTTGCCGCTGCCGAGGTCAGCTCCTGGGCTGGTCAGTGGGGCCCTGGGATCCGGGGGAGGGGAAGACCACAGGGACCAGACCGTGCCACGCTGGTCTTGTGGGGGTTTGAAAACACGATGTCACAAGCAGCAGGGCCAGTGGCTGAGGCTGAGTAATGACCCCCATGAGATCCGACTCGTCACCTGCCTGTGACTGGGCTGGGGCTCGGGCCCTTGGGGAGGGCGGGTTGAGAACCAGCAGGCCCAAGTTCAGCTAGAAATTGAGCAAGAAGAACTATTTGGACCCCCCAATAAGCCCTGCTGCTCTTGGGCGCGAAGGGAGGGAGGGGCAAGGCCAGAGCAGAGGGTGGTCCTTTAGAAAGTTTGCTTTCTGCCTTTACAAAACCACCACCAACCTGGCCCACCAAGCGGGTGCCTGTGAGAGGCCCAAAGGGGGTGTCTTTAGAGTCAGGAGGTAGGCGAAGCTTTGCTCAGAGCCTCACCAGAGGGGGCCTGACCCCGTCTCCCACCCTCAGCTGCCCCTCGGAGCTGGGGCACCACCTGACCGGCCACCACCATTATCACTGCCCAGCCTATTGCTGCTGGCACCGGGGCCGCCGAGTCTCCGAGGCTCAGGGACTGGACATCTTTGGGGACAAGCGTTCCTAGGGTGCTTTGCGGCTCTTCCTCTGCTGGGGTGGTGGCTGTGAAGTCCGTTCCACCTCACAGAGCGGTTTCCTGTGCTTGAACCTTGACGGACGCACGTGATGGGGCTTCACCTGTGGAGCCGCCGATGGCCTCCGACCTCCGACCTTTCAGTTCCCAGGGGAGCCTTGTTCTCTTTTCACTGCGGGCTCATAGCCACCCTACAGGACAGGGTGGAAGGGCCCCTGTGGGCTTTGGAGGTCGCAGGTCTCCACGGGACTAGGAAGCCTTGTATTCTCCTGAGGAGCGGCTAGGGGTTTCGAACTGCTGACCTTGCCATTAGCAGCCCAGCTTGCAGCCACTCTGCCACCGGGGCTTCCTGCCTCCTCCAGTGGCCCCGGTGTTGCTCACCACTAACACCCATGCGGTGTGGCTCCATGGAAGGATGCATTCTAGAAACACCGGTGTTCCTGGAGAGAGCCGGAGTGGGCGGAGGCAGGCAGGGTGTCCCAAACCAGCCTCAGCTTGGCAGGTGCCAAGTTTGGAACAGCTCTGGGGAGAGTCACTCCCCCGCACCTTAGCCAAACCACTTTGGGAAGCGGTTCCTCACCCCCCGACGTGGCTTCCACCTGTACGGTAGGGTTAGATGAGAGTGATTGTGAGTCTGCTTCATGGGGGTCTGCCCCCCCACCCCCAGTGCTGCTGTGCCAGCTGTCACATGGCGCACGCTCGGCGGGCCACAGAGCAGCTGGGGACAGGCTGAGAGTTCTAACGATGACGGGGACAGGAGGGGCTGCCACTACTTACCAGCCTTTGCTTTGCGGTTATTTTCCAATGTGTCCCAAGGCCAGTGTGGGCCTGCTGGCCTTCCCAATACGGGGAGGCAGGAGGGCGAGTGGTGAAGGGCCACGGCTTTGGGATGGTATGGGCCAGCTGGCTCTCAGTGCAGGACACTGGCTCAGATCCTCAGACCCATCTTGCAAGGAGTCCGTGGTGCCGGTGGAAGGCTGAGGTCTACGGCGCTGGTGCACAGGACACAGGAATGAACGAACGTGTGGTGCTCCTAGCGGAAGTCCTAGTGCTCGGGTCCTTCCCCTGCTCAGCAGTGGACGCCGAGGTCTGTAAGGCGTCTGCGCTGAGCGATGCAATGGCACAGGGTGCTTGGCGCACGGTAAACACCGGTCGATGGGAACTTGCTGAGGGGCTTTGCATGCCTCCCATTGATCCCAGGGGACACATGTGCGATGGGCCGGGGTTCAGAGAAGGCTGGGACCTCGCCCAGGGTCTTGTGCCAGTGTGGGGCTGACTGGGAATGGGCAGCGAGGCCTAGATCCAGGCTTTGAGCTTTGGAGCACTGGGCCACTGGGCCTGCCCCAGAATGGGAGCCTTCTGGACCTCCCAGCACCTAAAAGCCAGACAGCTACAGGGCAGTGTGTGGAGAGGAGGGGGTGGGGGTGGGGGTGCGTGCTGCTGCACAAAGCCCTCTACGGCCCCCTCCAGGAATGGTGAGCCAGGTGGGGCTGGGAGCCTCCCCTCCTCCCCACTGGCACTGGCTCCACCCCGCCATGTAGCAGTGAGAGAGGCGCTTACCCCCTTGGGGGCTCAGGTCAGGAAACTCCCTCCTTTTCACACTGAGGACACTGACACTCAGAGATGGTGGGCATTTGCATTGACCCCCACCAACTCCCACCAGATCCTAGAGAAGGAAGCTGGTTGTCACACTGGGGCAGGTCCAGGCAGGGCCCAGCCACCTATACCGCTGTGCTGTGTGGCCACCTGGGAGCCCACGGTCTCTGCTTGGCCTGAGGTCTGTGCAGGCCGGCACTGGCCCCAGCGGGGCACGCTGCTTGGCCTGGGCCCAGCCTGCACCAGGCCTCTCAGAGAGGGCAGCCGCCAGTCTCCGCCGGGAGTGTCTTGTCTCACTCCCCAAGCCCAGCCTTGATCCGGAAAGGCAGGCCAGAGAAGGGGTGTGGCTTTCGAGAAGGGCTGGGTCTAGGGAGCCCAGCTCCCCCCAGCACACTGGATAGCTGCTTGCAGTCCGTTTGGAGAGATGGTGATCCCTGTCGTGGGCAGAGGGGACAGGGTCGGTTTTGTCTAGTCACTACCCTCAGGTCCCAGCACGGCTCCTGGCCTGCACAGGGCCACCGCCAAGCTTTCTTGAGTGACCGGGTGTGTGACCTGTCCTTCCTTGTCCTCAGGTCCAGCTGGGAGCTCCCAGACCTCCAGGAGGGCAAGATCGAGGCCATCAGCGACTCGGATGGGGTGAACTACCCCTGGTACGGCAACACCACAGAGACCTGCACCATCGTGGGCCCCACCAAGAGAGACTCCAAGTTCATCATCAGCATGAACGACAACTTCTACCCCAGCGTCACGTGGGCCGTGCCCGTCAGTGAGAGCAACATTGCCAAACTGACCAACATCTACCGGGACCAGAGCTTTACCACGTGGCTGGTGGCCACCAACACCTCGACCAACGACATGATCATCTTGCAGACGCTGCACTGGCGGATGCAGCTCAGCATCGAGGTGAACCCCAACCGGCCCCTGGGCCAGCGGGCGCGGCTGCGGGAGCCCACCGCCCAGGACCAGCCCAAAATCCTGAGCAAGAACGAGCCCATCCCGCCCAGCGCCCTGGTCAAGCCCAACGCCAACGACGCCCAGGTGCTCATGTGGCGGCCCAAGTACGGACCCCCGCTGGTGGTGATCCCACCAAAGCACCGGCAACAACCAAGACCCCGCTAGGTTAGACTCACAAAATAATAACACTGCTCAGAATGGACCCCGACACTCTGTCATTCAGCAAAATACAACCATTCTACCTTTCCCAGCGGGACGGATCTCACTGTGCTATAGCGCCCAGGGTGGCCTCACCGTGCCCTCCTGCTACCTGCTTTCCTGCAGGGAGTGGGGGAGGGAGGCCCAAACGGGACAGACAAACCCTACATGTGCCCTTCCGTGTCACCTCCACCCTTCTGCCCCCCCCTTTCATTCTCTCCCAACAGACCCCCCCAAACCACTGCTCTTCCTCGTTCTTTTTCTTTCTCCTCTTGGTACCGCCTCGCTGTGAGGCTCGGGGGGCGGGAGGAAGAGGAGCCACGAGGCAGGAAGCTGGGCCCGGGGGTCCATCAGCTGTGCCCGCGCTGCTGGGTCACTTGCCCAGTGTAAGGGTCTTCCTGGGCCCGGCTCTCCCTCCGTCACGCGGCCTTATGCAGACTTGCTTTGCCAAACTTTTGCCTTAAGCTGAATTTCAAGGGAAAAACAGGATGGGGCGAGGAGGCGGGAACTCCTACTTCCTGGGCTTTTTGTCTCTGTCCCAGGGGAAGAAGGGGGGCTTGGGTCTGAGAGGGATGGAGGGGGATTTGGGACCCCTTTTCCTGGTTGCCCTGGAAGGGGGATAGACTGACCCCGTCCAAAGCCCCACCTTCTTCCCCTAGCTGAGCCTCCCCCACCCCACCCCCTGGTCCCTGTAGAGAGGGGCTGTGAGCTCTGGGTCTGCCTGGGACCCTCTTCTCCTCTCTCTCCTCGGCAGCCTTAACTTGCCTTGGGTGGGTCTGGGAGGAGGAGGAGGGTCCCATGAGCTGGGGGAACTTCACCATGTGGGTCTTTGGTGCCCTCTGAGGCCCCTAGCACCCCCTCACAGTGAGGGGGTGCCCCTTTTCCATCTGCACTTGTCTGGCAGACCTGGAAGGCCCACAGGGGGCTGCCCCAGGGTGAGAGAGCAAGGTAAGGCCCCTTCTTGCACCTGTGGCTCCTCGCCTTCCCTCGCTGTCCTCGGTGGACTAGTGGACAAGACAGCAGATGGGGGGCAGGGCTCTGGCTCCTCCTTGGGGATGCTCTGGGCTCTCGGGGGTAGGGCAAGCAGACAGGGCATATGTCCACACTGATGAGTGTGTGTGTGTGTGGGGGGGGGGACGGTGGCACCAGAAGAGGGCCCCCAAACCACAGGTGGTCCCAGAGCTGGGGAATCAGCCCTCTGCTGCTCACCACCCCTCAGGACTGGCCAGGTAGGAATGAGTCCATAGCACAGTAGCATTGGAGTCCCCCTTCCGCCCTCCCCACCGGCCTGAGTCAGCCCAGTGGAAGCCCAGGGACACCGGTTAGATCCACCCTCCCTTGGTCCTGGGCTCTTCCGAGCCCTGGGACTTCGTCTAAGGTTTTGGAGCAATGTCAGGAGCACTTTGAGGACCCCCTGCTCAAGCCACATTCCTGCCAGCTGGCCCAAACCTGTAGCCACATCGCCTGGAAGCACCGGCTCCCCCCACTCCAAACCAAGAACCACCAAGCACAGAAACCCGCCGAGGAGCTCTGGACTCCGTGTCTGCTGCCGATGGGACCCCTGGGAGTCACAAGGACACCAGGAGGGGTGTGAGGCCCCCTGCCTCCTTCCTTGCTCGTTCATGGGTGCTTCGTGGCCCCTCCCCGGTCTCCTAAGCCAGCTAGCGTCCCAGGACTTTCAGGAGCCATCCAGAAATGAGCCAGGCTGGGAACACTGGGCGTCACTAGGGTGGACAGCAGGTATGGTGCTTAGGGAGCCCCGAGTTGTGACCGGGATCCCCCCCCTCTGGGAACGGCTGTGCCCCCTTTGTGTGTGTGAGGCCTGGGCCACCAGAGAGGCTGTAGTCTCGCATCGGGGAAGGTGGGGTCCCCAGCTCCCCTTCTGAGGTTGGGGGTGGGGTGACTGTCACCGTGGCGAGACCTGGCCTTTACCTGGAATGGCCCTTCTTTGTACTCAGGTGTGTCTTGCCCTAAAGAGGCGCAAGGCCCACAAGCCAGGGTCCTAGCTCTGTGTGGGGTCATTGCTAGGGGGCTCTTATTGGGGTGGCGGTGGGAGAGAACAGTGGGGTGTGTCCTGAGCTGTCTGAGAGCTCCCCCAGCCTGCACAGCTCTGAGGCAGGGGACAGCATCTGCCCTGGCTGCCTCTGCTGCTGCCTGTACCCCACATGCTTGGCGTCCAGCTGCCCCTGACCCATCTCTCCATCGCCTCCTGGGCCCCTTTCTCTCCTGCCTCTCTGAAGACCCCTGCAAAGGCTTCGGGTCCCACCGAGGCTGCTCAGCTGAGCCGGGGCCTGGTGCCCAGCCTCCTTCCTCACGCTGGGAGCACCCTGGCGTTCTGGACACTCGCTCCTCTTCCTGCAATAAGAACTGCCCTCCGTCACAAGAGGACTGTGAAATCAAACCCATGCACTTACCAGGAGGCACCAGACTCTTGACAGAAAATGTAAACTGAGATCTTTTTTAAAAAAAATACAAAGAGAAATAAAATGTAATTTTGAAGTATGTCTGGCTGTGTCTGATGGGCTGTGGCGGATCCTCTGGGGGTTGGTGGCTCGGGGGCGGGCAGCAGGAGTAACCGTGTGCGGGTGGGGGTGGGGGACAGTGGCCAGTGGAAAGTCAGGCTGCATCCCTCATGGACCTGAACCTGCCCGCAGTTTCAGTCTCCATCGGAGGCTGTCTCTGGGACCTCAGTTCTGTGCCCCAAAGTACCGCCTGGCTGGTGCCAAGCGGGGAAGGAGGGGAGGGGCAGGCTTGGGCAGAGCTAGGATACGGGGGCAGCTTGGGTATTCTTGGGCAAACAATTGAGACCCATGTGACAAGGGTGGTCAGATATTAGATGACCCACATGGAAGCCCCACCAGAGACCGGCAAACTTGGCCTCCCACGGTCACCCCAGGGAGGACAAGGCCAGCCGAGAGCAGGGCCTTGGACCCTGTCTGCAGGGAGTGACAATCGAGAGGGTTGCATGGGGCCAGCACAGTGGAAATCCTTTTCCTTTCTCGTCTAAGGGTGGGCCCTGATGGCCCTGTGCGGCGGGGGCTCTGAAGGTGGATGCTGTGTTTAAGCCCACTGTGTGAGCTTCGCAAGGCAGGGCACCCCTCCTAGAGGCCTCCTTCCCTCCGGCGGAAAATGGGGATTTGGTGCGGAGCTGCATCTTGGCCGAAGGCGCGGAAATCCTGCTCTGCCTTCCCTGGGTCCCTCACGTCACCCGTGGGTGGGGGTGGGGGTGGGGGTGGTATCATGATCCCCAGCCTACAGATGAGGGAACTGAAGAAGAAGGGCCAGACGTCCAGACGCTGCCGAGGGTCTCGTGTGTGGGGCCAGGCGG